TTTGCCGTGTAGGTAACGGCCTTGCGACTGGNTACACTTCCTCCCAAGATTTGGGGTCTAACACGTAAGTAATCAGGGGTGATGGTGGTATGTATGGGACACTGATAATAATTGTAAATAGACAAATTGTTAATTTGTTTATTTAAAAAAGAGAGCACTGAAAGACGATCACATTGGTCACGCGGTATAAGGTTCAAACAATGGGGTCGTGGTTTCGAAGCCCACTCGAGGCATATATGATTTTCTATTTGTATTCTGTGTTTGCGTTTTGCCGTGTAGGTAACGGCCTTGCGACTGGTTGAACCCCCTTCCAAGGATTCCTACCAACTCTGTACTTTTTTTCCTGTGCCGCTACAGCCCCAATTTGGGCCTAGGCCTACCTCCATGAAACACTGTTTCACTTCGGTTTACTAGATCTTACACATACGGTAGGATTCCTTGGGCGAGTGATCAGCTCGTCGCAAGGCCTCTATCTGTACACAAACAGAAAAACGCACACACACAAACTAAACATCCATGTCGAACCCACGATCCCGGCTTCCGAGCGAGCGAAGACAGTGTACGCCACCGACTCTGTATAGGATTAAGAAACTGTAAAACGTAAGCCAAGGTTCGTCACGGACAGTAGCGCCCAATAAGTAGTAGTACTAATATTAGTAGTAGTAGTAGTAGTAGAAGTGCAGACAAAGAATTAATAAATTTGACACTCCTACTTGCTACGACTATATCTATATTACGACATTTATTATCTCCACACGATTTATGCGGCAAAGAGCTATATGGGCATAGTGCAGAGTTTCACTGTGTTGAAGCAGGTGGTACATATAATAACCATTGTGCTTTAAATGGTTAAAACAACATAAATAATAACCCGGAACCTTCCGATCCACAACCTGTATTCTATTGCATCGGTTATTAATAACTGCATGATAAAATTAGGCCGCGTGGATTCAGCGGTAAGAAAAGGCAAATAAAATAACATGCTAGAAACGCATAATAATGGTGATGATGAGATCACACTGGGCAAATTGAATGGAGCAATTCATTATCAACAACATCTTATATCGCGCACAAAATATACAAATATGTTGCATTTGAAGATTATTACAGCCTTCTAAGTTACAACGCCATATAGCTTCTTCCTACATAGTTGTCGACTCTTTGGCCATTTCGTATATTCGGCGTCGAAATCGGTCAAACGGGGGAAAGTTAAAGAGCAGGGAAGGAAGATGGTCACAGAATATTGTTCAAAACCCGCCACAATTCCCCGCCTCTCTTACTTCGACTCTTCAGAGAGAGAATGCATGTTCCTCCTAAAAGTTTGCACTTATCTACCAAACTACACGGCGTCGCATCTCAGAAGCCTGTCACCTTCGTACTCATGGCTGTGAGGACCTCAGTTCTTCATACGCTGTAGTTGGTTCTTGCATATGTTAAAATTAATTCAAATGAATTCTGAATCTCTAATAAAGTATCATTTTATTGCCCCCCCTTTTAAATCTTCTGTTGGAAGAGAATAAAACTAACAGAAATATCGTACTCTCCTGTCTGTCCATATATTCACGTCATACTAAAACTTGAACGCATATTGACGAAGTTTTATGTTGGCAGATAATTCCAAATGTTGTAGGACAAATATAACTTTGCTTAGCATAGGTTTAATTAACACACTTCCGTCAAAGTACTTTGACGGGTACTAGACTACTGCCTATTCCGATAACTTGAGCTACACTAAAGGCTGTCAAATCTGACTGGATGGAAGTTTACTTGTAACTAAGTTTCCTCATTACTCTGAGGTAATCATCTGAAACACTAGAATTAATTTTATGCAGGTACTTCGAATAAACAACGTCAAACAGAATTCCTGCGGGTCAATATCCCACACCGACTTTACATCAGACTAGAATTAAATTTACGTGTTGTATATTATCCCGGTAACAGCTCATGGCACAAACTAACTGGTACATAACAAGAAATATTGAGCAGATATCGTTAATACACTCTCTTCATATGAAACAATTTTCGGTATGGTGTATGTAATCTGATATAATAAAACATACATATTTCTGAACAGGCACACATCTGGTGAAGTATTTTTACTACTTGTCTATACCACAGAGGGACAACACAAGTTAACGTACCATATACGAAAGGAAATAAGGCGGATTAATTCTTTTCGTGTTTCTCACGTTTCTCATTTATCCATTCCACACAATTTGTTTTCGAAATACATAATGAAATGATAGCTTCCTTGAGGTTTGAGTTCAGCAAAGGAGTATGTCACTTCTTTCCTCTTACGTGCACAGCATGACCAATTCTTTCCCAACACTGTACTAGTGGTGAAGGCCCACAGCAGTGCCTCGTCTGTCACCTGATGCTAACTTTGGTTTCCGTGCTCAAGGAGACAGCCACAATATTCAGCAAAATTACGAATCCGTATAGTGTTACTTACCCAGCACCGCTGTCCTTTTAATGCCCAGTTATCAGGTGATCCCGGAATAAACTTTATCTGCAAATTCAACCTGTTGATGAGATACACTTATCACTTAAACAGCTTGTTTTTATGCCAAACAACGTAACAGCACGTCCACAATGCCATATTCTCCTACGTTACTCATCCTAATTCGCGCATGCGTACGTTTCTTTGCTTCCCCTTCATTTACTCCGCTCACTGCGATACCTACCGTTCACAGGGTGAAACTTGAAGGAACAAGTTAACATACGAGCTGCATTTGGATCATGTTACTTCTGGTAACTTTTATTTTATTTCGATTAATTTATACTATTGCTGATCCGAGGAGTGTATTGTTTTCTACAGCTCGGACACAGCGATCGTGGATTGGAATACTACTCGGGACATGTATGTATGTGTTTCTGCTGCGTTTGTGTTGTCCTGTGTAGGCCAGAAGCCATGCGAATGAACCGATCACTTCTCCAAAAAGAAAAATCTATCAATAATCTGTAAGATCGAGGGTTTCAGAAACTATTTTTGCGGAGAAACAGGCTACACAGCCTAATCCATAAAATGATGAAGACTTATTTTTTCTGTGAAAATCAATCAGTAGACAGCAAAAGTGGCGCTGGAGCAGGTTTTCTCCGAGTACTTCGGATTCCCCTGATGATCCTAATTCCACCAAACTCTCCATCATCATAATCACCCAGGGCAGTTACAATAGGCCAATCAGTGGTCGACGTGCCGAGTTGACCCAGCTGGACTCCACCCCCACTATGCGAATTAAAAAAAAAATGCTAAATTCAAGTTCCATTTTATAAGAAGCAATTATCAGCATTTCACATATCCAGCACCGATTAGGCATGTCTCTGTAATTTTCATAAGCAGTGATGGATGACGAATATTATATAAGGCATCTGTTTCGAAAAAAAAATCCGTAGGCGTTAACACGCAACTGTCTTCGAAATACGGAAGCAGCTGATGACAGATTTGCCTGAGACGTAAGTTTATGAAGGATATTCTGTGCTGAGTTTGTTGATTATGATCGTATATTTAGAACTTTGATCACGGCAACCAAGAACTGTATGACTCCCATTAGGTCTTGGGCTACTCTAAGACGGTGTTTTGAAATTTACCCAGAGCACCATAAGTTTATCCAAATATTATTTATTTTTAATTATCGTCGCTGTATATATATATAGTGTCGAATGTTCGAATGATTAGTAACTAACCAATCAAAGGGAAAGTGGAAGGAAAATTTCGAGACCTTATTTTCGTTTTCATCTATCGTGTAGAGACTGAGGAAAACATGAAAAAATGTCAGTATAATTGGTGTCCTTACCTAGATTTGAAGCAGGTAACTCCCGCATACAACCACAAGAATTATAGCTTGAACTTATTTGTTCTGTTTTCCACATCTGTGGCATTTGGTATTCCCTTGTGTAATAGTTCTCCGAGTACAATGATAATCCATTAAAACTTCATTACATTCATAATCGTCTAATTGTTGGTTTATATTTTCATATATATATGACGATTCGTGAGTTTGGCTCGGCAATAATTTTCATTTGTGTTGTTGTCATTATACTGTCATATTTTATACTCTTAATTTTGTACGCTGGCAGCAGCGGTCGGTACTGAACCCAGAATAATTTCGATATTGAACTTTTATCTAATTGCATGCAGGATAGTTCACTGGCTCGCATTCAAGCTGTGCAGATTTCCTGAATCCTTTGTTTGTTCTGCCTGAAAATCGTTACTCCTACGCACAGATCTTACCAATCTTCATATAAGAGTGAATCACGAATTATTAAGGAACACTTATACTTTATAATTTCTTATAAATTTCCTTCCATTTTTTTTTATTGCTATTGGGGTGGGACTAAGTCCCTTGTACTGCGGCCACTTCTGGCCTATTGTACCAGCCCCAGATGATAGGTGAGGGTGATTGTGGAGCAATTGGTGGAATGAAGATTGGCAGGAGAAACCGAAGTACTCGGAGAAAACCTGCCCCAGCGCCACTTTTCCACCACAAATCCCACTTGACCATAGCCGGGATCGAACCCGGGTCGCCGCGGTGGGAAGCCAGCGACTAACCGCTTGAGCTATGGTGCGGCCCTCTTTCCATTTTACATCAAATATTTTTTTCATAACAGTAGTATTGTTATGATTCTTAGGCAGCTTGAAATTTCATGTCCCCTTATATGATGTCAACTTATTCCATGAAAACTGTTCGTAAGGACAAAATTCTTAAATCGAAAATGAAATTCCTATAATTTTACGCGTACCTTACATGTATAAGTCGACGAACTTCCGAACGCAAGTTATTCGTTGCAGAGAAAATTAAGTTAATTAAATGAATCTATAAAAATAAAAATTAACATAACTCTTAGCGAAAAATCGTAAATTGACCCTTAAGAAAACGATGGATAGCTTTATTTACAGCAAACTTTATTTCCGTCTCTGAGCCCCCTTACATATATGGATTACTAAATTTTTCGAATTGTTTACTTTGAAGCACAAAATGCCAATTAATGATTGAAGTCACTTCACTATTATTAATGTTTCTTTCCTTTCAGTCTTTATTTTGCTAGTACAAAGCACATTTGAAAATTGAATACTGATCAAGAAATACAATAAATTTCTTATCCCTTGAGAGGAAGTACAGATAAATAGATTCCATATGAAAGGTAATATTTACATCGTCACCTTGACTTCACGTCCACTGCAGGACGACATATTTGATACAAGCCTGCAACGAAAACATCAAATAACACTTTCATGCCCCTCTCACTAACACACTAAGATGATACACGGGGATCCCAGATCCACGCTAGAAATTTGGACATTTTATTTACAGTAAGTCATGGAACACGAATTTAAGGATGATGCGTCGTAGATAAGCACAGATATTCCCATTTCATTGAAACAATTGCTTTATAACACTTGTTACGTTTCTGCTTTTAGCACTCCGAGACCACAGACAGACGCCATGACCACAGAGCTAATTACCAGCTATACACATCCATATACTAATATTGTATAGTACACATGGCGTGCATTTTTAAACGTCTATGCTTACTGTTTGTTGCATCTACACATTATTTCATTCTTATCAATGTTAGCTGACATTTGTTTACTAATAAAACTATTTTACTTTTGATAACGATGTTATTTTCTCTGCGAAGAGTGCAGATAAAAAGAACATTCTACTTCACCGCATGCAATATGCACTGTTCAAACACTTCTCAGTTGCACATATAATATCAGTAACCCGTGGTTCATTATAAACTGTTCTGGAATATCACAACGATGTCATATTTACTTTTCATTTCTCTATACACTGTAAATATACGTGTTCTTAGGCCAGTTCCATCGTCTGTTTGTAGACCCAAAACACTCGCATAATCCCAAGCATTGCTTTGTAATTTTCTTACATTTGTTGAAAGAAAACAGTAGACAAAGTGAGAGAAAGTGTCACATCATTGGATAAATAGCAAGGGTCACAGATGAAAGATAATATTTCAATTAAACTTATTCATTTGGAAATATTTCTTCAATGAAGAACGGTGGCCCAAGCTGTGTAACACCGTATGGAGAATATGAATTCAAGTTCCAAAGCAGTCACTGACCTTAAATAATTGATCACTATTTTGTAGCTTGCTTAGAAATCCCTGAGGTCACTATAGCTTTCCGTTCCACGTTCTGATAATCCTAAGCAATATTCCATGTGCTACAGGCAAAATTAATGTTCACTGATAATCATAGTCTTTGTTTCAAAGTCATTTAAGCAAAGATATAAATAACACCACGTGATATGTGGTTTTAAAGTGTTAACTTCGAAGAAGTTTCAAAGAACTTAAATTAAAGAAGCTGTGGTAACTACAAAGAAGCTGCATGCCTTTTGTGGTTAACCAGTATGGGACATGAAGAAGCTTCGAAATTCTTCCAGGGTGTTTTCAACACTGGTGTTACTCGGTACGCAGATAGATGGCAGAATCTTCATCTTTCTCTTCTATGGCGGGAGGTTTAGAATCGGTGGAACATGAACTTTGGACAGCCATAACGATGTGGACCATATCAGAAGGGTTAAGGGAAGATGCGATTCTCCGGATGATGTTGGTCCTTCTGCAACGGGCAATTCCAGTGCATTGTCATGTGGCCTGCCCCTCAGTTTCAGATCTGCAAAACAAAGGAAACACGTTTTCCAGAATTATCATGCTAACCATGATGTATACCAACGTCCAATTTCGGAAGCGTATTTTGTATGTATGATGTCTTGGGACGTGGTCCACTCCCGTCTTCAGGTTTTTGGATGGCATATTGACAGCTAAAAAGATATCCCTGCAACATGCCGCGGATGACCATTGGGTTATGAGACGTCGAGGCTCCCACATTTTTTAAACAATCGGCTCACAGATGGTGTTGAGGCTGTCAGCTTTACACGCCGGCCACCCTTTGTCCCCAGAGAGATTCCTGGTACTCATTTCTGTTAGAAGCTGAATTGACCCTAAAGACATTATGCGGCTGGAAGAATTGGGTAAACCGACAAGTGCAATGACCTCATCGGGAATCGAACCCGTGACCTTCCGGCTTGCTGCATAGCGCCACAACCAACTACGCTACTGCGAGCCCCCATATTGACAGCTATTTCATTGTTTTCATCTTAAGACTAACAATTATTGGAATGAATTTGGAAGCTTTTAAATACAAGGCTTATACGGTACAATTGCCTCAGATTACTAGTCTAATATTCGGAGGCAACTCGGGTTAGGCCCAGAGTGTCGCCACAGGGAATCAAATGGCTTTTCAGAGGTAAGTAGGTGTTCCAATTCAGAACAACGTAGATAGTTCGGATGAGTACAAGGACCCGAGGGAATGACCGTCACATATTGCAAGAAATCCATTAGAGCGCAGTCTCGTGAGCTTGCTCATATAAGTATCATCATTGGGAACCTGGTCACTGGAAAATATTTCCTCAAAATGAATATTTCTGGTACTAAATAGAGTGCGTGTACATGCGTTCCCCCCCCCCCACTTCCAGCCCCGGTCCAAACTAATATTGCGATAAAATATATGTTAACATGAAAAGAACTTGGCTTGTATTTCAGAGGTGAGGGATCGTATCCCGGCTGGGAAACTGAATATTCTAACTGGCGTTCTTCGTGATATTCCTCACCGCTTCCAAACAGAGGCAAGGCAATAGCCGCTTCTTTCCATATCATTTCCAATTAATAGTCACTGCCCTCCATTCATGAAGGTTGCATAGTCGTTAGACAAAGCATAAATTAGTAACCTAAAGACATTTCACATAAATGCTTATTATTAAAGCACCCGTCAATAATGCAACAATATTTTAAAATATAAAATACATCTAGAATATGTTTCTCGCTAGAAGTGTAACTTTAATATTTTATGATGTTAAAATCATAAAATGTTATTAAGACGCTAAAATTATAACTTATACACTAAACGTGATTATCAGATTACTAAAATGTCTCTAGTTTTTCGTATGTTTCTTCTCCTTACAACATGTTTCGGCCGCACATGGGCCATCATCAGACAATTTTACTTTTGTTTTCGGGAAGACCACTGCACTTTTCAGTATTGACGGGTACCTTAATAATAAGGATGATGCCTCAATGCAACGGGATAATAAAATATAATATTTTACATAAAGTATATTGGAGATCTCTCTTTGCTGACTGATTTATGCTGGATTTCCTCCGAAACATCGTTTGGCTTTCAGTGCATTACATGGCATTATATTCTAGGAGACTGAACTCTTCATAACTACCGCTGTGAGAACCTCAAATCCCATGAAACATATTGTCTGTTGCATCACACTGCTGGAGAACGGATAATGTATATTAGAACCCAACACTAAATGGGGATAAGTGGTCATATCAAGCCTGCTTCTTTCATCTCCAGTGCAGAGGTCTCGGTGCCACAAGTTCAAAAAAATAGGCTTATGGGGGGAGAAAGAAGAATTTCAAGCGGCAGTGAACCGAAAAATGCCAACATCCTTGAAGCGGATCGAATTCTGTTCTTTAACTGTTCAAACATTTAATCGTGTGAGTTTATACGGATTTTATTTCGTTTTAGGCAATTTGTAAAATAACATTCTCGACTTCCTTTTACCAGAAATATGCAGTGTACTTTCTCATTAAAGTTCATACGGGATTGAATTCTCTGTAGAGAAAATTACTCACTCATTTACTCAAGGAGCTGAGCCCTTCTGGAGGAGCCGCCAAATCTGCAGCTACTCAAGAATTTCCCAACAATTTATGGAACCCGAAAGTTCATTACCGTGTTCACAAGAGCCTTCTTCTGATCCCTATCCTGAGGCAGATCAATCCAATCCATACCATCCCATCCTATCTCTCTAAGATCCATTCTAATATTGTCCACCCACATACGCCTTGGTTTTCCAAGTGGTCTCTTTCTTTCTGGCTATCCCATCAATATCCTATAGGCATTCAGCTTCTCCTCCATTCGTGCTACATGCTCTACCCACTTCATCCTCCTTGACTTGATCATTCTAATTGTACTTGGAAAAGGGTACAAATTATGAAGCTCCTCATCACGCAGTTTTCTCCAACCTCCTGTCACNATTCGTGTTACATGATCTGCCCACATCATCCTCCTTGACTCGATCATTCTAATTATACTTGGAGAAGAGTACAAGTTATGAAGCTCCTCATCGCGCAGTTTTCTCCAACCTCCTGTCACTTCGTCTTCCTTCGGTCCAAATATTCTCCTCAACACCCTGTTCTCAAACACCCTGAGTCTGTTAGAGAAAATATCTTGTCTTGCAAATACATACTTCTGATCAAGGTAAACTACGAACTGAAAATGATATTCCAACATAATTAACATAACAATTCATAGTTGCAATAGCACACAAACTTACATTCTTCATTTCAGTTCATTAATGACAACATCGAATGAACGATTTGAGGTTTTGACGGAGTTGACTATGAAGACGGCATTCTTCAAGTATGAATGAGTTTCTTCTTCAATAGCTGTATGTATCCAACTGCTGAATATGTATTATTCGTTCATTTTTTGAATAGTAAGTAGTAGTGCTTCTGTAAAACCCTCATAATTTTAAATATAATTAACCATAAAACTCGAGTTGTAAATTCTTGACAATAGAACATACACCGTGGAATCGCTTTACTGTACACGCACATATGTATCATATTTCTCTATAGCTGATTGGTTTTACTATGCACCCCTGTAGAATTTTTTGGAAACTCTTTGCTTCCTCTTCGATATATTATGCAGTAAAAGAGTAATACGCTTTACGCCTTATTTTCCTACCATATTAATCACATACACGCTTCAAGTAACTTAAAATGCACCCATTTCTTTAAAATACTTTGGTCTATATACCCAGAATATAGCCTATGAGACCTATTATTTGTATTCGACAGTAAGCGTCCCCTTTCTCCGATAGCCCGTCTTTGAAGTACTACAAGCTTTAGTTAAAACACAAAAGACTACATATAGGTTAGAATAGTTTAAATACGTGGCCTATAGGTTGGATTCCATACTAAAGTCGGCTGCAGAAACTGGCATGCTATACACTCACTGAAGTTCTGAATATTCAGGGTAGACTAATGCTTTGGATAAAATTATTTCAGGTGTACTGAGACATGAGATATTTGAAATATTTTAAAATAAATTGATATGTGCCTCCTATATTTTACACTACATTATTCTGTTCTTTATATAAGGACCTATTTTTCTTTTTAATGAGGTTAATTTCGAAAACGTTGAGGCTTCCGTTTCGTTAAAGGCAAAAAGGAATGAACCTAACATTTTTCTTTAAATTACCTCATTTTACTGCCAATGGTGAAAAACAAAGTTAGCAAGGCAATATGAAAACAAATGCTTATCAGCCACCTGTTTCGACAGTCAAAGGACGTTCGACTAAATCTACAAGCTCCGGACGTTCTCGGTGGTATTCTGCCTAGGAAACGGAGTTACTGATATTTCGCCATCAAGCAGACATTCTTAATAATTTCCACACAAAAGCACCATGCACTTGAAACAGAGTGTTTAAAATTGTGTTAAACTTCATCGAAATTGTCATATTTTAATTATTTCCCAGTTTTCAAAAACAAACCAATTATAAGCGGCTAAGACAACACGACCGCCTGCTCAGGCGGCGTTAACTGAGGTGTGTATGGGTAATTCTGATGTATGAATAGTGCAGGGTGTATTATTGTGATCATGGGATTGACTGGGTTAGATAACTCAGCTGATTCCGGTTTGACGCTTGTCTCGAAAGTCGCTTTAACTGGGAAACAAATTGGTCATGCACCATACAAGTCACAACATTTCAGTTTGATGATAATATGAAATTACTATTCTCCATAAGTTTCTGCCCTTAAGATTGAATTGCCGGTCACGGTAGCCGAGCGGTCTAAGGCATGTACTGTCTTCGCTCGCTTGGAAACCGGGATCGTGGGTTCGAATCCCACTCAGGGCATGGATGTTTAGTTTGTGTGTGTGTGTGTGTGTGTGCGTTTTTCTGTGTTAGTGTACAGGTAGAGGCCTTGCGACGAGCTGATCACCCTCCCAAGGAGTCCTACCGAATGCGTAAGATCTAGAAGAACCGAAGTGAACGGAGAAGTTCATGGAGGTAGGCCTAGGCCCACTGGGGCTGTGGTGCAAACAAAGAAAAAGAGTGAATTACTTAATTCGCAGAAGCGATAAGGCGTCATGAAATGGTGCGCCCAATTTCTACCTCTCGTCAATTTAGCAACTACACAATTATTAATTTATTATAAAGAATTTTCCGGAGTAGACAAACACGTCCGTTGACTTGTGAAGCTGGAACAAAAAGCCCCCTGAGGTGACATGTACCAGAAACTCATGAACCCTCCAGGAAGTGGTGCCCAAAACTACTACAAGTTACCCATTACAGACTGGCTGGATTCGAACAGAGTTCCTCATACTTACATCGAATGTACGCATTCCTATTGGTTAAAACTAATGAAGCCATGTCATCCTAAGTAAGGCATTTCCACGTCTGGAATCCATCAGCCCCAGAATCTACTCCGACCGGCTGAACTCCTCTGAACCTGACTTATGATGACAAAAATTGCCTTTTGATCAGTTTCTGTCTCTAGACGCCATAAAATAATTGCAAACTCCGCGGCATACTCGCT